AGCTTCTTTTGTTCTTACTTCTTCATCTCTCTTTCATATCTTTTCTTGCCCCATCTCTTGCTCTTGTTGAAACCAATACCACTCATATTACTATAGCTTCTTTTGTTGTTCAACATATGCTCGAAGGTGACTTGAGAGTTGTAGCACCTCTCTAACTTATTGCTCAAACTCTTCACATGTTCATTGAGCTCATTGTTCTCCTTTAAAAGATTAGTCTCACAAGACAAGGAAGTAGAACAAGCATCTAAATGTGAAGAACATGGCATTGCTAATAAATCATCACAAGAGGTGGATACATGCTTCTTGCCTACATCACATAGGTTAGCAACAATATGTGATTGATCAATTGACCCATGTGATGAGCTCTCACTAGTTTTGGATTTTTCAATTGAAAGTTCTTTAGTGAGAAAAGCATGGTCTTGTACCAAGTTATCATGAGCAAAACTAAGTTCCTCATAGGCCAATTTTAGCTCCTCATGTGAACAAGTAGTAACATAAAGTAGATGCTTTTGTTGTTCACATGTGTTCTTTAGAAAAGAGTTTTCAGTTTTTAATTTCTTGGTTTTAGCCATCTCTTTTTATAAAGCTTTGATCATGCAACCATATCTATCTAGAAGCTCCATATATGAATCAATATCAATCACATTTGCATTAGATACCTTTGTGTCACCTTGTGACATGAAGCAATGTGATGTAGTGGATGAGTTTGTAGCAGCAATGTCATCGGAGCATGATCCATCATCATCAAGATCACCACAAAGTGTGCTTGAGGTAGAATCATCGCGTGCATCACTTGTGGCATCATCATCACTTGACCATGAGGTGAAGCAATCTTCCACAATCACTAAATTATGGTCATGCTCGACACACTCATGCACCTTCTCCTTGGGCTCCTGCTTCTTAAACTTTCCATCATCCCATGTGGAGGAATCATCGAAGGTGTGCTTGATTGATTCCCAAATCTGATGAGTGGTTCCCAGGTAGTTTATCCTTTTTATCAAATCAAAACTTAAAGCATCCATTAGATAACAACAAGCATGTGCATCAAGTTCAAAGAGAACTCTTTGAGCTTTTGTGAGATTTCTATGGTCCAAGACATGAGTGATACCACTAATGACAATCCACCAGAACTTAGATCCCTTTGCATGAAAATGATCAAGCATGTGATTTTTCCAAAGTGCAAAGTTTGTGCCATAAAAATGTCTCTCACAATCATCTAGCCCATTAGTCGCCATCCTCTCAGGTCGGTGAAGACCACAAATGAGAAACATGGCTCCGATACCACTTGAGGGTCGAGATGGCAGACTAGAGGGGGGTGAATAGTCCTTTCTAAAACCAAATGTGCCGGCTACCCGAAACAAATGCGAATTAAAACTATCGGTCTAGCCTAGACTATACCCCTCTATCTAAGTTCTCAAGCATCTTAAAAAGATCCTAATTAGGCAACAAAGGTGTCGGGCTAGTTAGAGCTCACCTAATCAATTCTAGAGCAAGGTCACACAAACCTATGCACTAGTACTTCAAACAACCGGGGGAGCTCCTACACAATCTAGTAAGCAAAAGCACAAAGCCACCAAGCTCACTAGTAATGCTCAATAACAAGGCTACACAAGCCAAATTAGAGAGCGCAAATTACTTAGCTACATAAACTAAGCAATGTGACTAACAAGGTTACTAAAACCAAATTAGCCATGCAAGGGAGCTACTTCTATGCTACACAAGCAAGAAGGTAACTAGCAAGCTACACAAGCAAACTAATTACAAGAGCAACTACACAAGCACAATATATATAAAAGTAATTGTAAGCTTGTGTAAAGGGGATGCAAACCAACAGGAAGACAAGGATGACACGGCAATTTTATCCCGAGGTTCACGTGCTTGCCAACACGCTAGTCCCCATTGTGTCGACCGCTTACTTGGTGGTTCGGCGGCTAATTGGCATCACCCGTCAAGCCCACACGTCAGGCACCGCAAGAACCAACCCTGAAAGTGAGGGTAGCTCAATGACACGCTCTACTAGAGTTGCTCTTCGTGATCCCCACAAGATGAGCACAATCCCCCTCACAAATCCTCCTCCAGAGCACTACACGATCTTCTCGTGTGCTTCAACGGAGTCACAAGCCACCAAGCCATCTAGGAGGTGGCAACCTCTAAGAGTAATAAGCACCATCGGCTTGCAACTCGATCACCTAGTGCCACTCAATGCAACCTCATGATGCAATCGCACTAGAATCGCTCACTCACTTGATTGGACGATCACTATCAAGCATAAGTGAGTTAGAGGGCTCCCAAGCACCACCACATAAGCCACAAAGGCTCTAGTGTGCTCAGCTACCGGCCCAAGGCCGGCCAACACTTCTATATATAACCCCACGGCGCAAAAGAGTCGTTGCCCCTTCACTGGATGAAAATCAGGGCGACCGGACGCTCTTCACAACATGACCGAACACGCAGGTCCCTGCGTCTGGTCACTCTCCACCATCTACGTGTCATTTACATTCAACGTCAAACACTAGATTCAAATGGTTTGCTCTGTGCGCCAATGGTCAAAGAATGACCGGACGCGCCAGCGAACTGACCCAACACGCTAAATCCGTGTCCGATCACGCGCACTCGCTCATGGCCAGCACCTGACCGGATGCATCGAAGGCAGACCTGATGCTGCGCCACCGTCAAGTCAAGTCAACTTCAGAGAGGTTCCCGAGCAGCTTTTGGATGACCAGACGCGTCTAATCAACAACGACTGGACGCACCGTGGAGTCAGGTCCTCTTTGCTCAACACCCTCATGCTAGAACGCCGCCACATCAGCAAGACCGGATGAAGGAACAATAGTCGTCCAACATCTGATCGTTCTTGCCTCCCTGAGTCTGATCGCACAATGCCAGAGTCACGCCTCCTTCGTGCCAACTGATCGGACACGCCTGGCAAAGTCCGATCCTACCGAGGCCAGCGTCTGGTCATCTCTAGTGACCACTTTTTGCCTCCTTTTCTTTACCAACTTCTTCTACTTTGCAAATGTGCCAACACCACCAAGTGTACACCACCATGTGCAAGTATGTTAGCTTTTCACAAACATTTTTAAGGAGTTAATCACTCAATTCACCACGCCACTCGATCCTAACACGTATGCAAAGTTCGATCGCTCAAGTGGCACTAGATGATCGATATGCAATTAAGTTTACTCCTCTTGATAGTACGTCCATCTATCATAAACCCTGTCATTAACATCTCTACTCACCTATGATCGGTGAAATGAAATGCCCTAGGTTATACCTTTGCCTTGCATATTTCATTCCATCTCCTTTGATGTCGATTCAACACATGCACCAACCAATCACCAAATGATATGATCCACTTCATATCATCACATGACCATATTGGTTCATCGATCTTGACTTCACTTGCTCCTCATTGTTGCCTCGGTCCATCTGTGCCAAGTCATCACTCAACTTGCCCTTCACACTTGCAACCGGTCCATCGAACCAAGTCTTGTCTTGCTCTTCTCCACCTTGATCACATGACTCAATGTCATGTCTCATGTGCAATGAGCTCCTTCATCACATGTGTGAGCTTTGCAACATCTCCAAGCCATTTCACCTCCATGGCAAAGGTTGCTCACACATGATGTACATGTGGACTAATCACATGTGTATCTCATTCAAACACATATTAGTCCATCTAAGGTTGTTACTCAATTACCAAAACCAAACAAGGACCTTTCACGGGGGCAATAGCCAACTCTTGCACGGTACCCTAGAAGCCAGAAGATGATGACAAAGACCACAGTGGAAACCACGTTGTACAGGCCGGCTGATGAACTGCCATCGTGCCTATAGTGTCGCCTTGGCTAACACAGTAGCACCACGCCACACCATGCCACGATGTGGCCACAAGACCATGACGACAGCCACACCTAGATGTGCTCCACAAGACAACATAGCTTGCAAGCCAAGGTAGCTTAGGCCCTCCCACAGGTTCATGACCCTTTGGTCGGGAGACCTACTGCTTTGTATGTGCCCTAGCCCCAAACTCTATAGAAGGGCAACTAGGGCACCCTTTCTAGACATTCTAAATCCTCTTCAATTTCATTCATTCCTCCTAGTAGTAGGGCTCCTGGAGCTTCCCTTCAGGCAGCCCATCGACTAGCATAGGTTCTTCTACCTCTTCCATCATTCTTGCACCCCCCCACTGTAAGAACTTTAGAGCATTCAAGCGAGAAACATGCACTCGGTCATCTCTTAGACTGGACGTAGGGCTCTGGCCTGAACCAGTATAAATCCTTGTGTCTTTTGAATGCTACCATTGTCTTCCTAGAGCAGCGCAGCAATCGTATAAATTCACTAGTTTAGTTTATGAAACACCGACAAGGTGTCACCTAGGTCCCTCTATTATCAAAATGTTATTTCTAGGTCCATGAACTTGGCTTTGGGTATCATGTAGGTCCAAACGGGTCCTAACCCGCTCTGTACGCTGACATGGCAAGCTGAGTGTGCATCTGACGCATAGGACCCACATGTCAGGGAATAAAAGAACACACTTTTTTCCTCTGGCTCATGTGCGCAGAAAGCGTCGAAGCTCGCGGTTGGGCGCACGGGTGCTGGCTGGCGAGGGCGCGGGCATGGTGACTGCCGGTGGGCGTGGCCCCGGCCAGTGAGTGCCCGGGAACGGCGGCCTTCAGTGGGCCTAGGCATGCCAGCCTCCGATGGGGGCACGTGATGCCAAAAAGTAGAGCGGTGGTGTGGAGGAGCAGCATGGCGGAGAGCGTGCTGTGCCAGGCCACGACGGTGAGCACGGCAGGGTGGACAGCGCCAAGATCAGAGACGGACCGTGATGCTATGGTGGAGAAGAGGTCAACGGAGCTCATGAGGAAGTGCACCGCCACCGGGAGACACTGAGTCGGCGCTCGTGCCCTCGTTGTTCTGACCGATGGCCACACTTGTGCCTGTCTACAGTGAAGCTAGAGGCGTCGGGCAATGACACGGTTGAGGAGCACTAGACGATGGCCGGCACACCACCCGTGGGGATCTCCAAGGATGGCTCCTTAGATAGCGACTCTAGCGTGGTCTTCAACGATGTCAAGGCATCGCCGTACTCCGGCGCGGTGTTCGAGCAGCCCACCTTCGTTGGCTTCGGTGCACCATTCTTGGACACATCGATGGCACCGACAGGCTGCTCGTTTCCCCCTGTGTTCGAGACCAAGTGGTAGCACGGGCCGATGACATACCCTTTCGACTCGTACAAGACCTCTGCCAACTATGGATTCACGGAGGAGTGGCTCGCAAGCTCGGAAGTCATCGGCAACGACAGCACGGTGGGCATCTTCTCCGGGCCGAAGCCGCACCTGTCGGTAGCTTCCGCGTCGGTGCCCTCGACGGCCGAGGCCACGCGTGCGCCCGACTGAGAGCCTCGGTGCTTCCTACACACATGAGCTGGAGGAAGAAGAAAAGTGTGTTTTTATTCCCTTGACATGTGGGTCCCACATGTCAAATGCAACACTCAGCATGCCACGCCAACGTATAGAGTCTGTTAGGACCCGTTTGGACCTAGATAACATCTAAAGCAAAGTTTATGACCTAGAAATAGCATTTTAATAGTAGGGGACCTGGTGACACCACGCGCCAGGGCTCGGGGAGAATTTTTATTTTTTAATCCTTTTTATACAATATTTTAATAATAATCGCTTCTAAAAAATTTTGTGGATTTGATCCGTTTGGTCGCGCCAGCGCCGCTGACAGACCTAGTTTGGTTTTGGTTAATTAATGAAACCCAGGACTAACCTTTGATCTAAGTGTGTGATTTAGACAAGGTGGTCCAATCCAAGTTGTGGAGCTAGAAGATGGTCATGGTGAAGGTGATGGCCACAAAAGAGACGATCAAGTGCTTCACACTTGGAAAAGAAGAAAGAGAAAAACAAAAATGGGCTCAAGGCAAAGGTATAATGATAGGAGCTCTTTTTGGTTTACACTCAAGACACCATAGAGGGTGTGAGTGATTTAGGATCGATAGCCATACTATAAAGAGAGAAAATCTTTGGCTAAGCGGTTTATCGAGTGCCACTAGGTGACATGATTCTTGCATATATATTTAGGAACCTAGTGTGCTAACTTTGACCCTTGTAAAATGCTTTGAAAAATGCTAACACACGTGCACGCAAGTTCTACACTTTGTGGTTAGCAAGTTAAAAGCAAGGGAAAAGCAATTGAGGAGTTAGAAAAAGAAAAAGGAGGAGATAGCAGTGACCGAACTCTGGCGCCGGGGTGACCGGACTCACCCCAGGCGTGTCCGGTCATCGTGTGCAAAGAAGAAGCAGTGCGGTGGTGAGCGGACGCTGGCGTGACCAGACGCGGGGAACACTGTTCCCGCGTCCGGTCAGTACTCAGTGGCTTGCGCATGGCTGAGCTATAGCGATCGGACTCACCGGCGCATCCGGTCCCTAGTGACCTGACGAGTCCGATCCATAGAAAACGCCTCTGGTTGCTTATGCGTCAGGTGGCTTGAGCGTCGCGTCCGGTCATTCTTGAACTATGATCAAAGTCGTCTAGTGACCATTGGAGATGGACGGGTGAGGTTGGAACGAGGACACATGGACGGCCAAGGGTGGCCGGACGCTGCGGTGCGTCCGATCTATGCGTCCGATCAGCTCGAGAGTGCTCAACGGCTCTTAGAGTCTTGGGGCTATATAAATAGGAAGGTACCGGCTTTGGGCTCTCTCTCTCTGGCACTTTGACATACTTGACATTCTTGTGAGCCTAAGCAAACACCTTTCACTCATCTTCATCATTGATTAATCATCATAGTAAGATTGAAAGTGATTCTAAGCATATTTGCTTGAGTGATTGCATCTAATGGCACTTGGGGATCGTTGTGGCTATGGATTTCTTATTTCTCTTGGTGGTTGCCGCCACCTAGACAGCTTGTAGCAGCGGAGGAGCTTTGGCATGTGGTGGTGATTGTTCGTAGCCGGCTCTGGTAATTGTGAGTGGTCTTGCACCTTCCTTGGTGAAGAGCCGTAAGGTAGCTCTAGTAAATTACTCATGTCATTGAGTTACTTCACTTGTGGATAGGTTCTTGCGGAGCCTCTTGTGGTGGGCTAGGTGTATATATCTATTAGCCGCCGAACCACCAAGTGTTGATCGACACAACGGGGACGTAGCGTGCCTGCAAGCACGTTAACCTCGAGAGAAAATTAGTGTATCACTTGTCTCTTGGACTTCTCCTTGTGAATTGATTATCATCAAATTATGATTGGTTTATTCCTCGATGTGGCGGTATAATAACCGTACTTACTCTATTACTCTCTCGCAAACTAGTTGTAGTAAGCTCTTTAGTGTAGCTAGAATTGAGAGCTTGCCTTGTAGCTTAGTTTCATCTAGTGGAGCTTTTTGGTGTAGCCTTGTTGAGAGCTCTTAATGAGTAGTGACTTAGTCTTTTGTGTGAATAGAGATCATAGCAACTAGAATTATTGGGTAGGTGTTTTGCAACCCTTATAGAGCTAGAGTAAGTTTATTTTTCACCGTTTATTTTATTAATCAAATTGCTCTAGTGTATTTGTAGAATTTTAAATAGGCTATTCACCCTCTCTAGCCATATTAGGATCTTTTAGCCGCTGGCATGACTAAATAACGTTGTCGCGCCACATGCATTGCTTTGGCAACACATGTCACGTTAGATGGCATTTGCGACGTGAAAAACGATGTCACGTCGCTCCCGCTGGCGTGACAGTATTGTTCTATCGCGTCACCAGGAGTGGCGTGACAAAGCCAAACCTTTAAAAAATCATTACTCTTTGATACGACGTCGGAAGAAGATGAAAATTTATATGAAAATTGTAGCTCTGGATGAGATCTACAACTTTATAGTTTTGAGTTTTTCATTTGTGGACGTTAAGAAGCTCAAAAAATTAATATAAAATTTCAGGAGTATAATAACCACGTACAAATGCTTGTCGCATTTAAAAAATAATATATTTTTTTATATATTGTCTAATGAAGATACTTTTGCATAAAAATTATAGTTCTCAATGAGATCTACAACTTTGTAGTTTTGAGTTTTCACATTTGAGATCGTTAAGATGCACGAAAAAATAATATAAAATTTTAATAGCATAATATCGTGTATTAGCCCGTTCGACTGCCCTTAAAATCGACTTGTTCGGCTTCTTTTTTCATCCAGAACAGTGTTTTTCTCTCACAACATTTCATCTGGAACAGTGTTTTTCATCTAATTTCATCCGGAATTCCTCCAGCCGAACTAGGCCATTAGCGCTTATCGCATTAGAAAAATAATATCATTTTTATATAGTGTCAAATGAAGAAACATTTTATATTAAAGTTGTAGTCCATAGTGAGATCTACAAGTTTATAGTTTTGAGTTTTCATATTTGAAATCGTTAACATACTCTAAAACTAATATAAAATTTTAGCAGCATATTAATCGTGTATCAAAGCTTATCTTTTTTAGAAAAATCATATATTTTTTATTTGATGTCACATAAAAATACTTTTTAAATAAAAGTTGTAGATCTCATTGAGAGCTCCAACTTTGATATAAAAAGTACCTTCATTTGATATGATACCAAAATGATATTATTTTTCTAATGCGATAAGCACTAGTACACAATTATTATGCTACTAGAATTTTATATTATTTTTTTAAGCATCTTAACGACTTCAAATATGAACACAACTTTGATGTAAAAACTATTTTCATTTGACACCATTAAGAAAATATATTATTTGTCTAATGCGACAAGCACTACTATACGGTTATTATGCTCCAAAAATTTTATATTATTTTTTAAGCATCTTCACGTTCTCAAATGAAAAAACATAAAACTACAAAGTTGTAGATCCTATTGAGAGATACAATTTTCATATAAATTTTATCTTCATCCGATATCGTATCAAAGAGTTATGATTTTTAAAAGATTTTGTCTTATCACGCTACTCCCAGTGGCATGACAGTACAAACAATACCGTCGCGCCACCGGGAGTGACGTGACAGCGTTTTCCACGTCGAAAACGCCTTCTAACGTGGCGGATGTTGTCGTGCCAATGCATGTGGTGCGACAACGTTATTGATCGCGCCAGCGACGCTGGCACGACCGAAAGGGTCAAATCCACACAAAAAATTTTGAGTGATTATTATTAAAATATTAAATAAAAAAGGATTAAAAATAAAAAATACGGCTGATCTGCGCGATTCACGGGCTTCCAAATGAGGCCCCTGTTTACACTAAAATTTGGCAAACTTACCCTAGAAAGGAAGGAATCGGCCGATAACGTGCATACGTGGTATTTCAAACAGCTGCCGAAACAAATAGGAGAATTACCGGGCGATGTCCTATATATATTCTGCGTAGGCCAAAATAGGAAGTTGTATAGCGTCAAACTAAGGAGTATGAATCCAGAAAGAGTCCAAGCAAAGCACGATGTTGATCAATGGTCAAAGAAGCAAAAGAATGAGACGGAAAAAAAATATTTTTAATTAGCCAGGCTACACAAGGCGTATCATCTACGTGGAAGGGATGAAAGGAAATATTATGTATATTTTAGGACAAAAGCTTGACATCCGGGAAGCTCTTCACCGGCTAGGAGATATTATTTAATATATTTTGGGAGAAGCCTCGTGTCCAAAAATTCTTCACTTGAACATAAGAGAAAAGAGAAGGAAAGCTAGAAGCTTAGAGATATGCATGCACACGTGAACGCCAGACTTGCATGTTCCGTTTATCTATCCATACATACATAGCTTATATTCAATACAATCTACCAAAGACATAGGACGTAGTGTATTACGTCGATCCGATGGTCTGAACCTATCTAAATCATTGTCTCTACACCCGTGTCACCATCCGGTTCCTATTACGCGCACCTCCACCAATCATCTACTACCGTGGGTACACCACTCGATAGACTACCGACTAGATTTCGTCGACACGTACATGTATAGGACTCTTGTATAGTTGCCGACCTTGTCATAGACCAGGCACCCCTATAAATATAAAGGGTTGCGGCCAATTGTAATCTATCCACACATCAATCAAAATTGGTCTTTACTTTTTTTGCTTCGCGCCAACCCTTAGGAGTAGGAGTAATGTAGATCTCGGCGAGTCCTTCAAGAAGCAGGGCTGCATCGGCTGATCGACTTCTGGCTTGTCTGTGAGTACCATCACGACTTGTATTATCGTTTGTAAGGCTACATCAG